ACAAAGTGGGAGCTGGGGAAAACCGTGAAGTGAATGGACCTCTTAATGAGTGTATCGACTCCCAACAGGCCCTATGATATAAATGGACTTCGGATAATATTAAAACCTAAGATCTAAAAATTATCTTTACTCTTTCACTCATTATCCATTTGAAAATCCTGATTGCTGATAGATTAATTGAAGACCTGTTCCTAGTATTTTTTTAAGTCCAATATATTTTCATTACTTTTGTAAGCTTTGTCATTACCGTCTTTTGCATTTTTTCCACAGTAATACTTGCCATCAAAAAATAAGAAAACAACTGCTTTTCTAGGTTATCTTCTACATGGACTAAGATCATTGAAGCTGCTGCCAAGACCTATTCAAGTTATACTTTGTTCTCTATGTTTTACAACCTTTATTGGCACTTGCTTCACTGTGCAACTGCAAAACATAAGCAACAACATTTCGTCATATTTTACCAAAGTATCTTCCTCAGTATGTTTTTGAAAATTAAAACACAGAACTTGTCACTGGACTGAGATTAGACAAAGTGTGTACAGTGGACACACTCCAGTCTCAACCCATAACCTGATCTGTCTTACTCTGTTCCAATTTCATTTAACATGTGGCTCAGATGTGTTGGATATACTGAGAATTACATTTCATAAACTGTATATTCTGCAAAATCAAACTACTATATGGCTGGTGATACCACAGCAATTTAAAAAATGCTATTTTAAAGAAGATTTGCAAAATATCCACATTGCGTTTGTTCAAATATATTTGTTGTATTAGGACCACAAATCATCAAACCATCAAACTATGTGTTTTGAACATAAAACCAACACAATTAAAGAAACAAAACACTGCAATTTAATAGCAACCATCTCACTTTACAAGATAATAACGATGGAAATTTTGCAAAGGAATCTGAAAAAGAATGTTGTTGAAAATGACAGATTTAAGACAACAGAAAGTTGAAAATTAAATAGCATAATAATTCTAGTATGTGGAAATTAACCAGAATTCTGCAGCATTCTGATTAATAAGTGACACTATTACCAGCGCTTACTGACATCTGATAAATACTATTCCTTTAAAGTAGTATTTTTCTGTTCAGCGACCTTGCACAGACTGACAAGTAACGCAGACCCCAGAGCCAGTTCACATGTGGTCAGTAGCAAAATTCCTAAACAGAACAGGAAAGGACCTGGAACGCATGTGATGACTAAAACATAACTTACTGCTAATACGGTGATTTCAATATTCAGTGCACTCCACAAACATTGTTTTAGATTTCTTTTACGACATATACCACTTCCAAACATGAATTAAAACAAAACAGAGGCGATGTGGCTTTGTGGATGGAGAGGAGCACTGGACTGGGAACTAGGAAATTGGGATTCAGTTCCTGGCTCGAGCCCAGACTCCCAGGTAAGACATTCAGTAAGACAGAAATTACAACACTGGCCTCCTAAGAAAACCTTGAAATCTACTGATAAAAATAGCAATAAATCTGAGTCAGGGCTTATTATTAAAAATTAAATAGGAACTATATAACACTTTCTCTAATCACTTTAGAGATTACATAATAATTAACTTTATTAAGCATGACTGCTGCTAATGCTGCGTAAAAATAATTGAATGAAACATGATAAACTGAATGTATGTGAAGGATTCCACAAGAGTGGAAGTCACATACTTTCCCTTCTTTGAACCCAATTCATGAAGAAGTGAGAAGTGTGCAATAAGTGAGTATCCGCAGAAATGTCACAAAGAAAACTGATCCCACAGGAAGCGTGACTCTATAGAGAATTTTGGTGACACCAGGATTTCATTTCCAAAGCCTTCAGCGATACTTAGGCAAATAGTTACGTATTTATCAAGATAGGGAGGATGCTTTTCTGAAAAGGGGTCTAAATTTCAGTATTGATTGAAGTTCATGAGAACTGCATAAGAAAGTGTGTTAGTAAGTCACACAAGCATAAATACGCATGGCAAAAAAGTGAAACCGAAGTATTTTTCTTATCAAATAATATAAAATAATGTGATGACCACCATCGGAGGAAAAAATCCACAGAGATTTTTTTTGCAGTTTATTTTCAATTATAATTTTTGGATAACCAAGCAGCTCTGTATGGAGAAAGCACAGAAGAGTCATTCTGGCACTTTTGGATAGTACATTTTTTTTTTTTTTTTTTTTTTTCAAAATTTTTCTAGACACATTCAGTCCACTTGCTCGGTCTATAGTCCATTTTATATGAGCATGATTAGCTCATATGATTCCAGAGGAAACTAACAATATATACAGTCAATGAAACTATCTTCTTGGCTACTCTGGGCCCTTTAAAATGTCTTCTAAACCTATCCTGGCTAAACAGAATCCACAAGATACATGATAGCTACAGAATACACTGTATTGAAATGAGAAATGCTCAGCACAAAATGGGACTCTTGGCATGCAGCTTAAAATAAAAGGTAGAAGTTCAGAAGTTTATAAAATCCCAAATGGGTCAATTAAAAGGAGTTAGCAAAAGAAGGGACTGTTCATTGTTACTGTAAAAAAGGCACTTTGAGTAAATGGGACCAGAATTGGAGGAATCTTAGTCGACACAAAGTTCAGTTTGGTTTCATAAAAAGGCTTCAATGCTAAGGGATGCTACTCAAGTTTCCTGCAGTTTTACATTAAAATAAATTGCTGAGTAGTTTATAATAAAGGACATAAAATGTTTACAACCAACTTGTAAAATTAAGAAAAGCATAGTATAAGCAAAATATTACTAAAAGCAGCAATGCATAGCCTTTCATTGAGATAATGCACAATTTTGGACACCATGTGTCAAACTCTTGTTTTTAAGATACTTTCAGTAGCATTATCAACATAAAATTGGCCTACAAAACAAAAGCTTTACCAGCTCCCACTCATAAGGAGATTGAGGTCATAAACCAACCAAAAAAATTTGTCAGTATTTTCAACATCCTGGATGACCAATATCAAGTATATGGAATAACAATCACACTCTTTGTTCAGCTATCTCACTGGAGGCAGCCGTTAAATCAGAGGAATGATTTTAATTCTTTTCCAACATTTACACAGTAATGCATTTAAGTTCTTTCAAATGTTGCTCACCACAGTTTGTTTTTCTCTTCTCTCTCCACAACAAAAAAAAGAAAAAAAAAATCAAGCACTTCCACAGAAAGAATATTTGGCAATTTTATACTCCACTGAATGGTGGATTTTCACAATAGCTCACTTTAGATTGAAAGTCATTAGTGGTCTTTCCTCTCGTTTCTGCCAAGGACTCTTCTTATCTTCACCTTGGTCATCTTCCTCATCCTCCTCATCCTCCTCATCATCTTGAACTGATGTTCCATGTTCAGGACTAGTTAATGGCTCTGGTTTGGTATCCACAGTTCTTGTTTCCTCCTGCAGGCTGGGCAGCTGCACACCACTTCTCTTACTAGTGCCTTCAAGTAGGCATCGTAGAGCATTGTCCTCAGGGCTACAAACTGCTGTTCCACACTCGCTACCACTTTGGTCCATATCATCCAAATAGACAAGTTGTGTGTAAGCTGTGCTATCTGAAACCTTCCGCTCTCTCTGCTGGTGCTCTTGCACTGGTGGGTGACTCTGTGGCGCAGACAGATGATCTCCTCTTCCCTTTCGGGCAGATTTTGGTTCATTCATGTCAACACCAGAGTCCAAACTGGCATCGTTACTCCCATTCCTACCAGCTCTTTGGAGATCGATGTATGAATGTCTAACATGAGCATTTGAACGTCCATCTAGAGAAACAAACCATGCTCGAGGATGAGGCAATGGCTTTCCACCTCCTAATTCCATCAAAGCCTTTTCTGTAAGAAGCTGCACTTCGCTATTCATTTGAGCCAGGGATGCATCATTAAGTGAGGCAGGAATGGAAATAGATTCAGACATGGAAGCATTCTGTTGACTCCACTCAGCTGCACCTGCATCTTGCAAATGTTGCTGAGATATTGCTTGGGATGCTAACTGTTGGGGTTGCAGCTGTTGTGGGGGGTGTGGAAAAAGCCGTGCATGAGGGTTAGGAAGCTCAGCCTGAAGTCTTTCTATATCAATTTGCTGGTCAGCTGGGACAACCAGTGGCTGGCTAACAAAAGGGTGTTCTCCTGGTAATTTCATGTAATGACCTGGGATGACCAATGCAGGCAAAACTTTTCTGTAAACACTGTCATTGACTTGGTCAACAGAATTGCAGCAGATTAACTGACCTGGTCGAGGGAAAGATGTAGGTCTTTCAAGGTGATCAACTGAACGAGACATCATACAATCAGTAGGTCTGCAGTCCAGCAGCTCTTTTTCAGGGGCTGAAGGTGTGGGGTATATTTGTTCCTGAATATTGTATTTACTTCCAGTAGCAATATGGTTCATAGATACTTGAATTTCTCTCTCTTGCTTTTCAAATAAAGGCTGAGACAGCATAGCATTGTAACTTCTCCTATACTCATCTTTGATAGGGGACTCATAGCCTTCAGCTGTTTCTGTAGGTTTTCTTGGCTTTAAAGGAAAACTATCTGCTGATTTGTGGTAGTCTTTTCTTAGAGACCCGCTGGGAGTCAGGTCATCCAAGGAAATTCTGCTTTTGTCTTTCTCCTTGTCAGACAGCAGTTCCTCTCGGGAGCTAAACTCCTGGGAAGTACTGAATGAGTGTTTGAGCATAGGTGTATGCATATCTGCTTCTCCACTAGGTGATACCATCTCCATGTGGACAGCACTGATTAATTCCTTTGCACCTGAGTTTTCAGTGTGTCCATTGCTAGCAACAGACAGCCCGCCAGGAAATTCTGACTCGCGACGTGAAAATATTAAATTTATATGGGACATAGAGGTTGCTTGATCCTTCTTAGAAGCGTCCAGTGCTGTGGAAAGTTGCAGTTTCTTATGATGCTGACGTGGTCTTAGACATTTTCTTCTATAAAAGCCAGTAACAAAAGAAGTTACACATTTATGACTGTTGTACACAGAAACAAGAACAGCAAGTGTGTCTTAATGGGAGATTTTTAAGCAGTGATTAATATTAGGGGAATTGAGCTTTTATTACATAACCTAACAATTAAAAGCTTATCCCAGCAGTGAAGCTAAAATTAAAGAATAACTCATGTCAATGGGGAAATATCTCAAGCACCAATTACAAATTGGAGCAAATGTCTGGAGGAGGCAAACAGAAAATCACTCATTAATATACACTTGCTGATAAAAGTTTAACATTCATTTTAATATACGACTAATAAAAAGATCACTTGCAAGTGCAGAACAGGTACAATGACAAAGGTCTTGGACCTACGCCTATGATCGATAGGAGGTTTTAGAACATCTTACAAGGAAAACACAGGTACAGGTGCGTGCGATTCATTCAACTACCATCCTACCAAAAGCAGGGACTGTATATGCTTCATGTAACCAGGAACATATGAAATTTGATCTGTTTCTTTCTTCTGTAAATGCTTGCTTGCCTTTTTTCCCCTCCAGGTAGAAATTTTTCAATACCAAATCTTTTAATTTCATGAGCACAAAAAAGCTTACATTTCCAACATGAACTAAGTAAGCAGGATGGTGAATCTTACCTGCAATAATACAAAAGCAGACACAGCAAGACTAGAAGTATGAGAGCCATCCCTCCTAAAATTGCCAAAAGAAACATTGTGTGATAGCTGGTAATGTCGTGTGTTACAACGGGACCTGGAAGGCCAGAAAAGAGAATTTAGACCTGTAACAATCTGCAAACAGGAAGAGGAACAACACTTTAAACATAGAGAGGGACATCTTCCCCTGTTATCAGGGTGCTAAGTGAGCAACTCTGCCGCTCATAGCCCTGGTGCCTATTGAGCAGACCACCTCTGGCGAAGGGAGCAAGTTGTGGAGAAAGCATGTGCTGGTTTTCATGACTGCAAGTCCAAATAGATCATTCTGTGGAAAAGCAGTTAGTTTCAATGGGAGCATGCATCAGTGAATGCTGCCTTCCAGGTCCTGATGCCGACACAGTGCGCCAAAGCTCTCATCACTGGAGAAAAGCCATCACAGCATCTTCCAGCACCGTACTGCATGTACCAGCACTGTGGCCAACAACTTCTCTTTAACAACATTTGTGGTGCTTTGCACTAAACAGTACATACAGTGCAGTACAGGATTCATTGGAAGATGTGCTGGTGCTCTTAAGTCTAGATCAAGCCAAGCCAAGCACATTTTCAGTAGCTTTAAAAAACAGGCCACTAGTGAAACAGTGTTGTAACTCCAGGTTTCAATAATGCTTAGTAAATGTCCTAACACAGAAAAGAATGCACACATGTGGACAGGATCTGTTCACAATTATGCATGTGTAACCGTGTTGGTTTGTAAAATCCTCACCATGATTTTGAAATAAAGGCCCAAATTTTTATCTGCAGGCAAGAAGGTACAGCACCAGCTGACAGAGTAATGTGCATGTGCTGTGAAGGACAGCAAACTTGGCCAGCATTAAGGTTCTAGATCATGAGGTTTGTAAAGCCTCATCTGTGGATCTTGAGTGGTCTGTAGAGCCACTGCTAGGAATACAAAGCTCATTTTTGTCCATTTTTTTTAGATAAGAAATCAAATAGATTCAATGAGGAGATAAAATAAGCAAAAAGACATTAACCTGATTAAAAATAACATCTAGTATATTGCATTTGGGAAATCTAAATATTTGTACATTCTGTCCCACCACTACCTTTACATAATTGATTGATACTGTTGCTTCAGGACATTAAGCAAAAAGAAGAGGAGATAAATCACTTGAATTTTTCATTAAAATGTGTTGCCATTGCAACAAAGTCTTAGGAACCCAGATCTAGCCCTCAGAAAGAAGGAAAAATAAAATACAAGTAGAAATTCTGCCATACAAGTTAAGCTGCAAGGACAAATAAGCCTTCTCCTCTTATAGTTACGGGCCTTCTAACCTTAGAGTTACAGGCACAATTTTATGACTAGTGTAACTTCCTTGCAGCCTGGGACAGAGCTGTACTGGGAAATGTTTGGCTTAGAGCAGTTGCTTTTTCTTAAAGTACAATTATTTTGTAAAATTCCATTAAATTCAATATGATAGTTTATTCAGATCTGCACCTACCTCTAAACTCTGTTCAGCAATGAATCAGCTGAATATTCCAGCAGTTTCATTTAACATCACCCCAAATAAAAAGCCTGCATAAGGTATAAGACAGCAAAAACCCTCAAATGCTCTGCATATCATTAAAGAACTTCATAGCATATACAAGCAGACTTTAAAAAGAGTCCTCATGTTGGGGTTTGTTTTGTTGGTTAGATACAGTTTATTTAGCTTGCCCAACCAAGGCAAGAATGTTTTCATTCCTACTGTATTTGGTTTTCATCCAGAAAACCTAATAAAGAAAATCTGTAAGAGGAGGAGTTTTTTGTTTGATTGATTGGCTCTTTTATACACAGAGGTATCTCTGATTATTGGTGGCTGAAGAACTAATACTAAGAAATCTGAGGCAGCCACAGACAGAAAAAAGGAAGAGCAAGCTGCAACATTAATAATCTCCACAGGCACAGCAGTACTTATAATGCCTAGTTCAAAGTGATTTTCTACCATTATGCCAAGAGGCTTGCAGATGGCAACCAGTCAGCTCATCTTCTAATGCCACTCTGCTAATACACTTCCTAGAACTTCTACGCCAAGTTATTCGCAGTGTAAATTAATCAGTCGCCAAGATGATGCAAAGCATAAGTCAGGGCAAAATGGGCATCTTCACCGTAAAAGAAAAAAAAGTTACAGTCAATCAATCCATTAGTAAACGTCTAACCCAGGATGATGTTGGTCTTAGGTGAATCCTTTTCTTTGGGAGTTTCTGTACAGAAACTTCACAGCACATATTTTTCTACCTGCTGGAAGACCAATACATTGATGTTATAACTCCCCTCATTTTCTAGCAATGGCTCTATCAGACAGTGGTGACATAAATGCATCAAAGCTTTATGCAGAGGAACACTTGAAAAAATTTCCCATTGAAATGACTCAGAGATTTTGAGCACAAGGGTTGCCCCCCGCAATCCCCAAAAGATTTTAGCGTTTTACTTTCAGATTTCTGTTTTCTAATAATCCATTATTGATCAAGCTGTGGCATCTCAGACGAGGTCATTCTGAAAAATATAAACATTATATATGAATAGATAATTACTCAATGCTGCGAGTAGCAATAAAATTCAATTCCATCTTACCTGGGATAGCAGGTGACATAGCTGCAACCCAGTAGCCCAGCTGAGGTGCAATGTAGGTCCAAGTCAACTGATTTCCTTCTTGTTGTACAAGGCCCAAACTACTCTTCAGCCATGTCCCTGTAAATGCAAAGGTTGTAGGAAGGTGTTACAGATACTCTCACACCTTCCTCTGCAAACAAGTGGAAAAGCAAGCAGTAACAAAACCTATCAAGGTGCTGTAGGGGTTGTGTGCATTGCTGTGAAGTGGCAGATTGTGCCTTTTTGTCACTGGCATTTGAGAGCTCCCGCAAGCAGTCATCCCCATGGCCTTCTCGGAAGCTTTGTACACAAAAAACATTTAAGATTAAATAACAATAATAAATCTTCAAAAAGGGTTAAAAGAAAATAATTATTGTCATATTAGATTCCCCTTTTTTAAAGAAGGATATTCCTGAAGCTGATTATATATAGACAGCCCACTTAAAAACTGTATTTCAAGAGACATCACATCTCCCAGACCACACGCGAGTTCTGCACACCACCTTTCCATCAGCTCTGGCTGTCAACTTCTAGAAGACAAGTGGGTAAGGATGAGGGGGAAGGCCAAC